TGGGGATGCAGCAGCGCCCCTGAGCAGGGCACGTTCCTACTCGTCCCTCAGGAGTGAGCCAAGAAAACTCTCAGGATTAGTTTTACTGTAGTGATCACGTGGAATCGTCTTGGAAAGTGTTGGTCGCTTGCAGATTACTCTCCCCGAAAACTTATTTCCTCTATTGTCATTTTTATTCCATTATTACTGTTATTACTTTACTTTTATGAATTCCAACAACGTTGCTTTCCGTGATTGGCTTCCGCTCCTACTTAGGGCCGGTGGGTGCTCTGAGGAAGGTGCAGTATACTTAGATGCTCAGGGTGGCGTAGTGAACCGGTTAATAATGGGGATAGCCAAGGCGACTATAAAGATTATAAAGGTTTTTAACTTACTTACTATGTCCCCCTGCCCGTCCTGGTAGCTAGTGCCATGCCAACTAAAACAGCAATCAGGCCTCCTACTACCAAAGAGGATAGTTGAGAAATCTACGTTATATGGTCAAGGACAGGTTATGTTAGCTCCCACTCAGGTTCTAGGTTCTGGCACCATTGCTGGGCAAGCCGTGGCATAGCGTTCTGCTTAGGGCAGGGCGTTAGCTTTCGTAACCCTGGGTCAGGTATGTCTTCTGTCAATCTCTGCTGGGGCCGAGTGCAAATTCATTAAGTCGCTGTATTTTTCGTTGGCTGCTGAAATTTGACTATTCACCCTCTCCCAAACTAACAGCATGAAACTTCATCTGGCCACTACATCTTAAACCTTCGGGGCAGGGTACATGGCCACCCAGGGTTCCGCATAGTGCCGCCAGCCAGTGACGTGCACCAATGCCAATTCGAAAACTGATGGCGCTCACCATGATGGGTTTCGGGTGCAAGGGGTTGGGGCTTTGTGATTTGGAGGTTTTGGGTTAGGCTTTCAAAGGTGTAAGGTTCGAGGTTTCATTTGTTGAGGGTGCAGGATTCTGAGCATCCCGCATTTCCACCAGCCCATACATTCGTAATTACGCGCAGTCCTATCCCAATAGCTGCAGCAAGCCTAGCCCGATTTTGAAAGGGTCTTAACAAACATCGGCGCAGCACATGATAGGCATCAGACCGGTAATAACAAGCTATTCGGGCCTGTCTAGCCGTCACTTTGCTCAGTTTGATACCATTCCTGCTTGTCGCCTATGCGTCCGCTGAGGATGATGCGTCGCACTGACATTGATGGTAACGACGAGCCCGGCGCTCAACTCTACAGTATACGTTGCCAAGCATTGGGCACCATTTGCGCCCCGCTAGAAAACATCACTCATGAAGTTATGTTCAATGCTGGAAGGAGATATGTGTAGGGGACTATTGTAGGGCTTAGTAAGGGAGCTAAGCTACTAGGAGTTTCGAGTAAAGCTCAGGTGGTTTTTCACGCGCTGTTGGGGGGAGGATGGTGGCGTATGATGTCATGTCCAATTTTCTTCTTGACGCCGAGGGAGCCAGTGCTTACATTCGGCTAGATCTATGGCATTCAGTGCAGTTGCAGTCCTGGTAGCACATGTAGCAATGATAAGTATTTTAACGAGAGGCTGACTGCGATGGGGACATCCTTTGCGGACATACAAGAGTAATCATGTTTGCTACTGTTCTACTGCCAGTGAAGGCCTTCATACTTGCAGCAAACCTCACCACGGTGGTGATCATCAAGACCTATACTTGGAGGTTCATAATAGCTTGAGGAGCTACTTCTAGCTGGGTTAGAACCCTGTTTCTAACTTGGGTAAGCGAGGACGAGAAGTATGGATATGACTGCAATCCTAAGTAGTTGCTAGAATCGGTTCTGTAAGCCTTGAGTCCCAAACCCGAAACCCCAGTTGTGGGTACTTGGTTCGTCACATTTTAGGAAGAGCTGTCCAAGGTTAGATTTGGAGGAGTTCTTGGCGTGCATGCGTGAGCACGAGATCATGCAGTCGAGGGCCGCTTTCTTGGGAAAGGGTTTAGACTTTAGGGAATCCTTGTAGCTGACATCACTTCAGAGGGATACCTTCCCATATGGCATATGTGCATCACCAACACTTGCCCGAACATTCGCATGTGGCCATTTTGGAAGTGGTCGATTTGACTAGTCTCATGCAGATGTGGCAGCTTTGTAGGATCGAACGCTAGGTTGCGGTGCTGCAAATCCGGCTGAACGCATAGATTAGACGGAAAAACGGTATTTTAAGAGCACATCAGAGAGTCCTGGCTCAAAAGGCTTGTTTAGGGTCCAGGCTTCATGAAGGACCTTCAGGGCTTTGGGATGCTCACGGTAAACGAATTAAGCGATGTTTAGGGGGTAGGGGGCTAGGGGTCCACCTTCGCAGCTTGAGGGGGTTAGTCCCAGGGATTGTGATGGGGTGCCAAAGACTTGTATGTGTTTTCAGAATTTAAGTTGGGGTTTCTGGAGGGAGTTCTGAGACTAAAGGGGAGCATGATGAGGTCTAGGGCTTGCGTAATCATACTGTGTACTTGCTCCTTTTTGGTGATGAGAGTAGGTGGCCGTAGCCCTCATCAGCCCCGCAAACCCCAGCCCCCAGGCCCTAAGACCACGTGAATAGAATTGGTTTTGGGGGATATTATGGTACCCATGACAGAGGAAGATTCTATCCTCCTTTTGGGGTATAGTATTTTATATGGGGAATATAATCTTACTAGGTTCAACCACCAAAAACAACGCTACTCACGTTGCTTGTAGCTTTGCAGGCAGAGGATGGGCGCAGTCCTGCAGTTTCACAGGCAGCTTCGCCTTCAGAGCCTAAGCCTACAAGCCATACACCCTACGCTCAGCAGGAAGTGAGCTACGCAGGAAACAACAAATCCAACACTCTTTGAAAAACAGTAATCACCAAGAATGGAGAGTCAAATGAAAAACAAAATGGATGAGTAAATGGAAACTAACGGAAACTGCCGTTTGGAGTTTAGGGTTACCAAAGAGAGGTTTACATGACGGCTGCTAGCTCTTCCAAGGCTTTGAGATCTGCCTTCGATCAGTCCAGCGATGGCTGCACCTGTGCCTTGACCTTCATGGAGGGCAGCTTCGTGGGGGTCCTCACCGAATCACTTCTCCCCAGGGGGTCCTCACCGAATCACTTCTCCCTAATCGCAAACCCTGCTCCCTCCCTACCAGTAAGCGCCCCAATACAATTCCATTAGATATTAGGGGCAACATAGATTACTTGGGGGGTGGGATGTTTATCCCAAACGCTCACACGCCCGCCCCGCCCCTCCCAGCCAGCCAGGCCCTGAACATTGGCCACATCAGGGGCAACTACAGGGAGTCCACAGGGTCTTAATGATTGCCAATGTTATGGTCCTATATTCCTTGTAGTTACGGTGTATGGCACTTCAAAAACCTCAGACCCGAAATTTAGATATTTACAGTGTAGGGCATTTCAAAGAGCACCTCAACATGATATTGGTCAGTATTCAGGCTGCTAAATGAAGGGTTTAGGGTTTGAGGGCTTAGGATTTAGGGTTTTAAGGTTTTAGGGTTCAGGATTTAGGGTCCCTAAACCCTAAACCCTAATTATGGCTTAGGGTTTAGGGTAGGCCTTGATTATGCATTGTCGAGGTGGGCGTTTACCTGCACAAAAGCTGTACTTTGCCGCTAAACCTTACCTACTTGGGTTTAGGGGTGTAGGGTTTAGGGTTTAGGATGAGAAACAGGAACTACTTATAACTTGGCTTATAACCCTATTTATAACCCCCTAAATGACCTTATAGGGGTTACCCCAATTATAAGTAGGGTTATAAACCCAGTTCTAAATAGTTGCTAAGTCCCATGAACCTCCAAGTAGAGGCTGGGGGAAGGAGGGTTATGAGTGAGGCTCAAAGTCCAATACATGGGGCGGGACTGCTTGCAGCCCTTTTCATAAACCCTAAATCCTACAACGCTAAAACCCGAAACCCTAAAACCCTAAACCAGAAAACCCTACACCTTAAAACCATAAGCCAGGAAACCCCAAACCACAAAACCCTAAACCCTGCTTAGTCAGCCTGCATCAGTGAACTATTTTAGTTGGGCACACGTTCAGACTATGGATCTGCACTTGTGGCACTCCCCACGTACTCGGGCGAATCATGAGGTACACGCAGCTATTTAGGGGCTCAGGGTTTAGGGCTTAGGATTTATTACCGTTCGATAGGGTTTGGGGGGTGGATTTTTGAGCTTCACATTTGAAATTCTGAAAACACAAAGTTGAAATTTTGAGAACAAGGAAATATGAGAACCCTAACCAATGGTGAGTTTATATGGGCTTGAGGTTTTGGTTTAGGCGCAGTCCATGACAAAAAAAGATTAAGGGTTGATGGCCTAATGTTGTGCCACCATGATGTCGGCAGTACATTTAGTGGACCCCTCACCCAGCAATCGCGAATGAACAGTTACTACAAGGGACAATGGTGATAATACCAGGGGCTTCTCATATTCCGAATATACTGCTATCACAGGGTGGGGTGTCCACCTAAGGATTAAACCCTAAACCCTAAACTGTAAGGATTACATGCCTATACTGTCCTAGAAGGCTCCTCATTAGTTTAGGCTCCATTTCACTTTCAAATATCTTTCAGTTTGATTCTCCATCATACCCCTACGCACCCCTACATTATCCCCATCCCCTATGTTATCCCCATACAAGTTGTACACAATCCCAATATTGGTGTGATGCAGGTAACCATCTGGAGCTGGCCACCATTTTGCTGGCGCAGCATCCTCAGCTGGCTGCTCTCATGGCTCCGTTAGGTGCTAGAAGCAGTGTAGAAGCGACCTTGTGAGGGGGAGGTGATTAAATGCCTTGGCACCTTTGATTCACGTGGATGTACTTAGGATACTTTGTCCGGAGTCGTTGGTCCCTCCTAGCACTCAGTCCCAGCATGCTGGAGAGAGCTAGGCGAGAGGGGGAAATCATGAACATCTCGACTCTGAACTGAACTGGCTCAAGCTGCCTTTGCCGTTAAGAGCCCAGAGACCACGCAACCACGCGCGCCGCACCTTCCGCTGTCAAGGACTTCAAGATGGCGACATATTCCCGGCGTGCGGTGCGCCGTCTCTCCATGGTCGCAATCGCCCTAAGTTTCTCGGCATGGGCCGGGGTGACCTTCTCCGCACCTGGTGCGCCGAGGGACATGGAGGTTACCTTCGGAAAGCACGCAGGCCAAATGATGTCGGAAATCGTGGAAGAAGATCCCGGCTGGTGTCAGTGGGCTATCAGGACTTCAGAAGCAGAAGACTGTGGTCATGGTTTGAAGCAGGTTGCGGGTTGGCTCATGAAGAACGCGCCGGAGGTGATGGAAATGCCCCCCAAAGTCAACTTTGGCAAGCATAAGGGGTTGACTGTGTCACAACTTGTCGAGGAGGACCCTGGCTACTGCGAGTGGATTCTGAGGACAGCAGAGACAGGTGACGCAGGCCCCGCGCTCGCTGAAGTGGCAGCATACATCCAGAAGCATCACCCGGGATTTCAAGCATAGTCCCAAAAGCGCATCGAGGCAAAACATGCTGAGCTGACTCTCAATAGGTGCTAGCCGGCTTCAGGGTCTCTGACGAATGGCTGAGACAATTTCCAACATCTGGGCAGCACTTAACTGTAGCTGGTCTGATGTCATTGGGGAACTGCTTCAGGTCCACCGTTGAGTGGTCACGCTTAGTACACACACAGGTAATTAGCATGAACAGCAGTAACTGCATCAGCAGTGCAGAAAGGTTTTGATTTCCATCCTTTTCGATCCGGCTGTGGTGGGCCTGAATTAGCTAATGGTTGCTCATCTGTCCGACGCGCACGTGGTCCTAGCCACGTCTCGCACAGCTTGCAAAAAGAGATGCTCAGAGTGGGGCCCGCAGGAAGTTAGTCGAAGCACTATGCTACGAAAGTGATGTAAGCCAAACCCACTTAAAGCCATTCTGTCTGCGAACATATGACTTGGCAGCTCTGAAGTGCAGCGTACGTACATGCTGCGGAACAAACACTGTGTGAGGAGTGGGCACTAGGAGAATCCATTTCGGAGAGAGTGTGTTGTCCAGCGGTGTAGTGGCCCTGCTGTAGTTGTCAGTCGTCAGTTAGTGTAGATTGACCTGTGCATGTTCCAGTCTGTCTAGCCTAAGCTCTTCTTGGATGCTTTGCTGCCGTTGTGACAGGTCAGTAGACGTCTGCCGCGCGGGGTCGTGCTGATAGGCTACTAGAGATGCGCGTGCTGAAGCCCGATCCGGAACGTTGCCGTCTGGTGCTATGTGCATGTTCAAAACCTCGGCCGTGCTTCCTCCCAAAGCTGAGGAAATCCTTGATCCTCATACAGGGGCTCCTTATAGCAGTCCTGTATAACCCCCAATAATTCCAATGATATTAAGGTGCCTTCCATTTTCTTTCAATTCCTGCATTCCTAGCTAACCAGAGCTAAGCAAACCCTAAAGCCTAAACCCGAAACCCTAGACCGAGGCTGGAGCTATTCCCAGGCCAAGGGAAGCTGAACGAGATGTTGAAAGATAGAGGCATGGAGGATCTGGAGGACAGGGGTTGGAAACGGAGTATAGCATACATGGGTTATATAGGGAATATAATTCATGGGCATTATTCAGGGATTAGATTCCCCTATCAGGCGGTTTTGAGAAATTTGGGGATTTAAGGATTTAGGGTTTAGGATTATGTAGGGTCCTAAATGATCAGAATATGACTTTGGGGAGCCAGAGGTTCTCATCCCTAAGCCCTACGCCCTAAACCCTCAACTGTGTGGGCCTCCTGTGATGGGGAGGGTGAGATGATTGCTCGGGTTTAGGGTATAGGGAATCGCAGAAGCTGTGTTTTAGCCAAGTTCTGGTTTTGCGGGCTTGGGAATGGTCAGAGTATACATGGATTGTCTATTTCGATAGTATATCATAGCATGAACCTTTCCCTGCACGAAGATTATTGCGTCGGTCCCTGTAATCAAGAGTGCATTGGGATACCATTGTATAGGGCATATGCAGCACGGCCTTCTTCCAAAAATCCACCGTGGGACCTTAGGCAAAAAGAGGAGTATGTCGCGCTTCATGGTAGAGTATGTTTCAAACCTGCAATGTTCGAGATATGTGCGTTTGTGTGCCTTGTGCCGTTAGTATGACAGGGTGAGGTGTCGAGCGAGGGGATGACGTATGCACCTGGCATACCGTCGCCAGACTTTTGCGTGTTTCAGTTCCTGCTGTTGCTTCTGAAGCCGCAGCAGTCCCAATATGCGGACTATAAGCTTTCCTAGACCCTCCTCCTACCCTCTATTAGGGCCTAAGTACCCGCTATTAGGGACCACATACCCCCAATTAGGGGTACAAGGAGGGTCATTTTTCAGCCTGAGCTCACGTTCTGCCGGCAGGAGTTTGATTTCCGGCACGTGTGCGAGTTAGCAAAATTATGCCGCCAGGCTGTGGCAAAGGCCTGCTTCTCCTCCTCCTCCTGATATGAGGGTTTACCAAAATTAGGGGTCCCATATTGGGGGTCCCCATAATAAGGACAATAGTATTTTGGGGTCTATATTGGGGTCCTTCTATTTTGGGAAACTACCATATGACCCGTAACCTTTACGATTGTCACGCAGTTTTCGTGGGGATTGCGAGTAGTGTGTAAGAAAGCAAATCATAGAGAATAGTAGAAGTACGTGGTCTTTGTCTTGTCATGATAAGGTTGCAATGACTCGAGGATATGTGAGTACCTCAATCAAGGGGTTTGCTTACCTCAGCAAGGAAGGAAGAAATGGATCCTTATAGGACGTGGTTTCCATGTTCTTTTCCGTTCCTTCCATCCCTGCTAGCCAAAGGTAAGATTGGGCTTGCTGTGTCGGCACATCCGGACGTACCCTAAACCCTCAATCCCTACACCCTAAAACCCTAAACCCTAATGGTTGCATCCCATCAAGATGTGGTTGCAGTAAAGCCTAAACCGTACCTAGCATAGTAGTTTCCATTTCCTTGTCCATTTCCCTATCTGACCTATAGTCTGAACTCCTGAAAGGGGGTTATATAGGGGATGATATAGGGGAGTACTAGGGGGAGAATTAAGAGACATACCCGTAGTTTGGACTATAGCTCATATTCTCCCATGTGACCCTTTTTGGGGGAGTACTGGTCTTTGGGATGCATGTTGGCGCTGCTCAGTGCACATGCCCATTGTTGAGTCCGTTGCCTCACTGTTGGGGTTTAGCACACAAAGTTTAGGCTTTCAGGCCCCTAAACCCTGAACCCTAAACCCTAAACCCTAAATCTTAGGGTTTCGGGGAAGCGGGCTGGAAGTTACAGAGTTTGCCTGAAAAGCTCTGCTTCTTTGTCAGGCAGTCCTACAGCAGGGAATTCCTTATTATAGGGACCCCCAAGAAGTACACCTAATTTTGGGACATTCCAATTTTACCCCATAGTAGTCCTTATATCCACTGCCCAAAGTAGCCCTGAACCCTAAGCTCCTGCGAAAGCAACGCCGCGCCGCAGGTCAGCAGGCAACGCGCCTGCTTCCCTCAGAAGCATGTGGCAACTTTGGAGCGACTCTTCAAGGAGACTATGGGGTTTTCTACAAGGTTCCTGAAAATATTTTTAATTTCTGTTACCTAGAATCCTAATATTTAGCTGAAATTATAATTTCTACTGGGGTTCCAAATCCCTTAGAGTTTTGGGGTTCAGGGCTATGGGTTTCCAAGGATACACAGGAAGTCTAAGGGGATTATTGGGTTTGGGGTTTAAGGTTCAGGGTTTAGGGTCACTTTGAGAAGCTCTCGCTTTGACAGCTAGCCGTAGGGAATCCTTTGAACAACAAAACGGATACCTCCCGTATCAAGGTTTAGGGTTTAGGGAAGTCCATCAAGTCCGTTGCTCAAAAGGGAAACCCATCTCCAGAGCTGACATGCTTTGTTTGTGGGACTCATCAGGCTCCAGATGAATTTGGTTGCTATTGTTATTACTATTTGTGTGATTAGTACTATTTCTATTACAAATATTAATGCTATTACATGATTTGACTGTTCCTGCTACTACTACTACTACTGCTGCTGCTACTACTACTACTACTACTATTACTGTTACTGTTACTGTTAGTATTACTGTTATTTTTACTATTCATGGCAGGAGTACGCTCCCTCCGGGACCATGGACAGAGGAGGCAGCTTGCAGATTTGAACTTTGCTGTCCGAATAGTGAGAATATATTAGTAGTAATAATAGTAGTCATAACTGTGTTAATAGGAATAGTAGAACTAAGAATGATGATAATGCAGCAATAGTAATAATTATTAGAAATAATCGTAGCAATAATGCTGGATGGGCAGGTTGATCATCGGCGCCTTTAACCCTGCACCTTGAATGCTGAATAGCAGCGACCGGATTAAGCGGCATTCAGCGCTTGCAATGTTCATGTTGAGACCCTAAACGGTGGCGCACGGAAACTACGCTCGACGTCCTTGCAGGGCTCATCTGCTGCCTGTCGCTTCTCGACCTTCCCATGAATACCATGCAGGACTGAGATGTTTAAACCCTAAACCTAAACCCTAAATCCCTAAACCATTGGGGTACCTAAACCCTAAATCCCCAAACCATTGGGGTACCTAAACCCTAAATCCCTAAACCATTGGGGTGTGCCTAATTACTGGTATCAAGAGCAAGGATTCTATGGGGAAGCTTGGAGCCCTAGGGTTTAGGATTTAGGGCCTTCAAAGGGACCGACATTCCCTTGCAGGATGGGACTTGAGAGAGTTCAGTGGAATAGTGTTATGCATGCAGATCTAGGGGGTCCTGGCAGCTTCCAACCCAAACCCTATACCCAAGCCCCTAAACCCTTGCGGTTCAGGGTTAAGGGTTCAGGGCTAAACTCTAAACCTTAAACCCTATACTCAAATGAAACTGGAAGTCATCCATCCCTAAACCTGTGACACCTGACTCAAACCTGAGACCTGGTGTATGTTCAGGTGGTCAAAATCCGCATGTAAGCCTTATGGTCCCGGTTAAGTAGATAGAATATGGGGTGTATGGGGATCATACTATAATATACCCAAAGCCATGTTCTATGTACTTAAGGGCGACTATGAACCTAAACCCTATATAATATAGTAGTTTCCATTTTCTTTTCCAGTATCCCAATATTACCCAAAGATTCTATCTACTTAAGGGGGACTACATCCACCTGGTATCTCCCTAGTTGAACATTCCAAGACACAAAGCTTAAGCTTCATTCAGGAGCGGGAAGGCGTCCTATCCCAGCTGGATGCCGCCAGGCCCCCTTCGACCTCTTTTTTCATCCTCACGGGTTTAGGGTTTAGGGGCCCAATATAGTTTAATTAAGGAATATACCTTAAATCATATTAAGGGTCCTTGTAGAATGTATGGTATATCCCTTAATTAGATAATATTGGGCTCTTTGGGTATGTGCAAGACAGGCTAGAGGTAATTACTTGGAATGAGTTCATACTTGTAACTCAGGAGTTTGGGTTCATGGTAGCTGGGAAGCCTAAACCCTAAACCCCACTGCC